CATTGTGTGCAATTTTTGCATAGAGAAGACTGGAATCTAGTTCTTATAGCATTCAACTCTTTATAGTTGAAAGTTTAGTTCAATGGTTTTTAGGGCCTGTTCATATGATCCCGCTTACCGGGACGTCTCGCTTACCGAGACGAATATTTCCGTGCGCGTTCATATGGAATATTTCGTCCCGCTTGCCGAGATGAAATTACATTGTAGTTCTATAATTAATAGCGTATGCAAAACTTCTACATTTCAGTCAAGCAACACAAATACTTAGCGATTTTAGTGTTTTTCTTCGTTTATTTACAAGAAAAAGTATTTCTTCAGATGCTTATTTAATACTTGTTTACACTTGTTTACAAAACAAACATAAAACCAAGTAAAAAGTGTTAAATTAAACCGGCAACCGGCAAGACTTGTTTGACTTCATCCAGGTAAGCGGGCTGGCGTGTTCATATGGAAGAATTTTCATACCGCCTACCTATGATCTCGGCAAATTCAAACGAGATCTCGGCAAGCGGGCCAGGTCGCTTTCTCATATGAACACAATGCAAAATTTTATAGGAAAATAGATAGGCGGCGAGATCATCGGTAAGCGAGACGTCCTGGTAAGCGGGATCATATGAACAGGCCCTTAGTGACTCCGCTGAACGGAATGATTGCAGTCAATGGTTTACACTTAAAAAAAACATGGCGGAAAATGTTTCAAAAAAGGTATTTTTATCTACATTTTATAATAATATATAAATATTATTGCATTTTTACTTTTACATGTTTATATCATTCATTAATATGATATTTTTGTATAACGTTTTCCTGTTTTGTATTGAATGCCAAAATACGCAATCTTGCTTTTATATATGACTCGATATTATATTGAATTAGCAATTTCGCGAGGCCTTATAATTTGAATATTTGATGCACTGAGGTTTGATGCCTAGAAATGCCTAGTGCAATTGGGGGGTGGGGGGGTATATTTTTAAATTTTAATTTATATAGTTGAACAGGGGGGTCATTTTTTCATTTCCAAAAAATATGGGGGGGTGCATATTTTATTGATAATGTTTTTAAAAAAACCACCGCCCCCCCTGAGACGTAATAAACGATCGGTCCCTAATAAACTATTCACAGCGTTTGGCGCAGTTTGGCGCCAAAAGTTACTAAATCCCATCGCTCAAAAATTTTCGAAAATTTTCGAAAGCACGAGGAAAAAGTTAAAAACAGATTTTTAATTAAAGATAATTGATAAATCATTCAAAAATTCAAAAAATAGTGAAACCTTCTTCACTAATGCACTTGGATGAATATTTAAGTTTTTCGGAAAAATCCTTAGATTTCCTTAGATTTTTTCTCTTCCTTAGATTTTCCTTTTCGACAGTAGAATTTCCTTAGAAAAGGAAATTTCCTTGAAAATGGAAGCACTGAAAACCATGCTCTTTGTTTTTGTTGTGTTTCCACTATGTGTTTCCACTATATCCTAAATATTTCGGAATACTAACTTCCGCTCAGCTTTATTTTCCACATTTCAATAGCGGATACGCTAAATTATGTGTTTACAAATTAGTTCAACTAATTACTAAAACTACACCTAATTCTAACAAAGCTGCAGCAGACTTGTAGCAAATTTAGCAATGCTGTTCCAACAACTTGTCAACAGGATGTGTTCGCACTGCTTGTTCTCACGCAGTTTGTTGACAAGTTGTCAACGGCTTGTTGAAGACAACTTGCTACAAGGTTGTCGAGTTCAACAGACGCGTTACAAATTGTTCCAACAACTTGTTATTGTCCTGCAATTCAACAATTTGTCAACAAGTTGTGAGTGACAACCTTGTAGCAACTTGATGAAATAACAACATTGTTACAACTTGTTGACAAGCTTGCTACAAGCCTGTTGCGAACACATCTTGTTGACAAGTTGTGAGATTTTTACCGTTTGTAGTTGATCATCACTAAACTAATTATTCTATTCTTAACAGACACTACCTACACTGACTAACCCTTCTCTAACTAACCTAGAATTAAATTTTATCAATCGTGTGATTTCCATATTCCATCATGTTCCATAATGCTACCGATATGTTGCATTGAGTCTCTGGTTGAGATAATCCAGTGCTGTTATGGGTGGATAATGACCCGAGCCATCCAGACATTCGATCACGACGTCATTATCGGGACGGACAAATAGTACGACTGATTGACGCGCAGTTTGGCGCCGTAACTCTTCTTTTGGGATAACAACACGATGCCTCTGAACAAGAAACAACAGTTTTACCCACGTAAAAATCTCACAATTTGTCAACAAGACGTGTTCGTAACAGGCTTGTAGCAAGCTTGTCAACAAGTTGTAACAATGCTGTTATGTAACAGAGAATAACTGACTGGTTACAAGTTGTTTCATGCAATAACTTGATTGTCGTCCTGCAATTCAACAAGTTGTGAGTGACAATTAACCCTGTCTTCACTTCAGTTAATAAAATAATAGCATTGTTGATTGACAATCTTGCTACAAGCCTGTTGCGAAGACAATATTTGTTGACAAAGTGTGAGATTTTTATCGTGTGTAGTGTCAACAGTTCTGAGGTTTATGTACAATCTATACTGCGTGGCACTGCAACCATTTTCAACTGGTTTGATTACATGCAACTAAGTGAACGTACCGTTGATACTAATTTATCATTCGTCCAGCGTTGTAACAAATCTCCAATGTTGACTAGGATTGTCCCCTCAATAGGACGGGCTGACACGAATCCTTGTTCTTGGCGTATCTGTGTTTCAAACAAAAGTTGAGCTTTTCAGAAAGATTAGTTGCATTCTTGAGGGATGGATAGTCCTTACGTACGTAGTCTGCTCATTGCCCGGAATTTTCATCAAACAAAGTCAATCAGTACAAGCAAGCTACCCTTACTGGACCTCTAGGAAAACACTTACAATATAACTTATAAGTTTCGTTTAATAAATATACGTGGTGTTTCCACAAAACGAAACTTATATTGTTGTTCACCATGCAAAACTACAAAGTCAAAGAACTTAGTTTAAAATTTTATTACAAATTATATAAATTAACTATCCAGTATAAATAAAGTTAGTTTAATAATTTAAGTTTCCTCCTGTACAACATTGGAACAATAAGAGATGATCCTTACGACTGGATCTCAAGGAAAAACTGTTTAGAACTGATAGAGCTATACAGTATAAATAAAGTTAGTTTATTCTCCTTAGAATTACCTCCAATCCTCCGCTTTGATCTTGGAATAAAAGCGTGATAGTTCCGTAGTCGCTATGTTCTCCCAAACGTATTTGTCCTTCCTTCAGCTCTGTCATTACTGGGTAATAGAGAAGTCGTAATGTTGTGTTGTTCTCCGGAGTACCAAACTTCTCATGTGTTCGCTGCAGCAATTTTCTATCCTGATTAAAAGAAAGGGGCGGTACTAGGCCGTGGGCTGTTGTGCGAAAAAGTGCCTAGAAAAGCAATTTCGTGGCACCCCCTGGGAAATAGATTTTCTGTGGTTCAATTCATAGAACCATAGATGCTTAATTACCACAAAAAGTTCCCAAGCAAAAACTTGCCCAACACCGAGAAAATGGGTGATCAGTGATTATCCTCTATTAAATTGTATTACAGCAAGAAAATGTGAAATTTTGTATTCAATTACAACAAAAATGACTAGCATCATCAGAAAGCTTACAAAAACCTACATACAGTTTTTTTATATCTAAAATTGTTTTCGAGTTATACACTGTCAAAAACGCGTTTTTGACCTAGTACCCAGTCCTTATTGCGACATTTTGGTCCAATTTTTACATTTAAAACAGCAATAACTCAAAAACTACTTGAAAAATCAAAAAACTGTTTAAAAGTCTTATATGCGGTTTTTTGTACGTTTTCCGATGATGCAAGTAATTTTTATTGTAATTGAATTATAAAATGTCCATTTTTTACTGTAATAGAATTTATAATAGAGGATAATCATTGATCACCCATTCTCTCGGTATTGGGCAACTTTTTGCTTGGGAACTTTTTTTTGGTAGTGATGTACCTATATGCCTTTTAATACACCCCAAACCAAGTATTTCCCACATGGGTGCCACTAAGCGAAATAATTTTGGCCAACAGCCCACGGCCTATACATATCATTCCCTGAAGTTGAATTGCAAAGACGCATTCACCTAATGGAATAGGCAATTCCAGCTTTTAGTTTATGCCTGCAGGGGATGATGGGAAGTAAGGTATCATATTGCTGATTATGCTGAAAAATTTCCAATAAAAACTACCGAAGCAACCGAAATATTTCAATATTTACAAGTATAAGCTATCACTCCGTGTTTACACGGCCACCATTTTTATTTTTTCAG